TAAAGATGAATATAAAAATTAGATTTAATCTTATTACCCAGAAAGATACCTGCTAGTAACAGTTTGATGTATTTCCTTATAGGTTTTCTTTCCTGTGTAGGTATATTTATTTCAGTCTCTTTCCCAACAGGATGTCCCCATTCTATCTACTATCCTTTGCAATTTTGATGCAATTATATACACATATACTTATGGTTTTAAAAATACTGTTATGTCATTTTCTTCCTGTTGTTTAAAAAAAAATTCTAAAAAGACATTTTATGGAAGTACTATCATTTAGGAGCCCTGGTGGCATAGTGGCTAAAAGCTTGGCTGCTAACCAGAAAGTCGGCAGTTCTACTTTGTCCTATAGGGTCGCTACGAGTCAGAATCACCTTGATGGCAACAGGTTTGGTTTTTTTGGTACTATCATTTAACTACTCCCCTACTATTGGACAAATACATTATTTCTATTTTTTTGCTTTTAAGAGCCCTGCTGCTAACCAAAAGGTTGGCAGTTGGAATCTACCAGCTGCTCCTTGGAAACACTATGGGGCAATTCTACTCTGTCCTATAGGGTCGCTATGAGTCAGAATCAACTCAACAGCAACGGGTTCAGTTTTTGGTTTGCTGCAGTAAGTATCCTTGCATACATGTTTGACCACTTCTCTGACTTCTCCTAGGAAAGCTTCTGAAATCAGAGTATACATATGCCAGCTTCCTCATTTATAAAATTGAGGATTAAAGTTATACCTGCTTCATGGAATCATTAGGAAGATTAAATGAGGTAATACTTATAAATTGCTAAATATAGTGTTTGGCACATTCTAAGTGCTCAGTAAATATTTACTTTTATTGTTATTTTAAAACCTTTAAAGGCTTGATACCCATTACTAAATTAATTTCCCTAACAACTGTGTCAATTTACACCTCTCCCTAGCTTATTTCATTGCATCCTCACTGAGTCTGTTTAATTTTTTTTTTCATTTAGCAAGTCATCTTAAGAAAATTAATAGAGGATTCAAGATGGCAGAATCAAATGTGAGTCAAGGCAATTTGCAAAGCTAATTTGGAACCAAGACTTTATTATAGTACTTTTGATTTACCACTACAGTGTCATTAATACAAAATATAACTCCTGAGGGCAGGCTGATTTGGCCTTGATCATATGGGTACCCCAGTACCATCTCTGTTCTGACTCTCTCAGTTATACATTTCTCCTACTACTTCCAACAACTTCCAAGTAAGCAAACTGAAGGGGTTTGATGTTAAACGGGCCAGATTTTAAAAAAATCATTTTCTAGGCTGCTTTTCTACTTTCTACATATGTGTTCCAAGCAGTACAGTTTTTTGTTTTTTTTAATTCCATTTAGTGCTGACTCCTTCAGCTTTCCCCTCTTTCCTATTAGCACTACATATTTTCCTTAACACTGGTCTTATCTCCCACTTTACTGCTGTTGAAACTTTTTAGCTGCAAAATTAGCTGTATATACAGAAAGGGAATTGTGGTAGGAACCATTTTAAGCCATGCTTCTAGTTTAAGCATTCAAGTAAATTTATATTAATAATGAATTTGTATTGTAAATATTGTCCATGCATAGTTAGAATACAGGCAATGACTCTTTTTTACAGACTCAACAGTCTGGATCACAATTTTTCTGACCCTGAACCACCTGTTAGAAATACTAACTTACTAAAAAACAGGAAATAGAAGGATGATGTTAAATCTGCATAATACTCCTTTCATATTGCCAATTATCTCTGAAAATGCTAGCAATGGGAAACAGGAAGTTCTAAGGTTGTCATCACTGTTGGAAAGAGCAAGAGAAGTTAATTTAAGGTCTTTCTAGCAAGAGCTAACATTTACTGAACACTCACTAGTGAAATGCTTTACCTTACTTTATTCTCACACCATCACTATTTTTATACCTATTGACAGGTTAAGAACTGCCTAGGGTCACAAGTTAGTTAGTGGTGGCAGTAGGATTCACACCCAGGCAGTCTGGTTCTTAGTCACTAAGTTGCCTGTCAATCCAACAATACACAAATCTGAATATAAAATTTTCACATTTATTGTAGATAAGACTTCTTATTGAAACAAGAAGTAAGGTGTCTACCAGTATTAGAGTGATGACTGATATTCTTGGCTAATTAGGCTGGCAGCCGTTGGTTTAGGAAAAGTACAGATGAAGAGAAGAGACACAAGAAAATTCGGAGGGAGAAAAAAATGTCACACATGCTGCTTGGAAATGACCCAAACTTTTCTCAAAGGCTTGTATTTTTCACCCTCTCTGATCAGCACACCCAGTCTCCTGCCCACTTGCCACCCACTCATTCATCAATCAAGCAGTTCACTTGATGTTAAGTACAGAGTTAAGTGGGGCAGTGGTGAGTGCAACTTGGTCCTTGCCCTTGAGGAGGTCATCACAGTCTTATTTTTACCCAGTGAACGACAAGCTTACCTGGTCCAAGTCATTCCGCAGAGCGATTTTGCTGGTTACTAGCTCATGGGCAAGGTCATCATTTTCTTGCTCCAACCTCATGCTGGCCTCCTGTAACCTCCGGTTCTCCCTCTGCAGGAAAAAAGCAACAGCCGGAGGTGGGCATTAGTGTTCGGTCATACTAGCAGAAACAAATGGAATTGGTGGGGGGAAACAAGCAACAACAACAAAGTGAACTTTCAGAGGTGTCAAAGGAGAAGGCAGAAGTGGCACAGGAAGGCAGGATTGCTGTCTGGGAAACAGCAGTGAGGTAAGCTAGCGGTGCGATGCAGAACTCAACCCAGTGAACCTTACAAGTGCTCCTTAAACCCTCCAGACATCATGTCATTATAGAAAATGTGCCACAAAGAGCAAAATTTCCAAAGATACCTCAGTCCTGTGAGGTTTTCATATAGACCTAGCACAGACACAGGAGATTCTTCATGACATGCATAATAGTCCCTCAAGGGAAATTGCAGGACACAGTAGGGATGAAATGGGAGGGAAACCTCGAGATAGTTCTTCAAACTGTTTTTCCAAGATCAAGGTTCAAATTAATTGAGTATATTTAAGAGTACTAAATGAAGAATCATGACACCTAGATTCATGGCTTTGCTACCAACAGATATTTTCCTTCTTTGTATGAGAATATATTTACTTTTCTGAACCCCAATTTTTGTTGGTGAATGCAGTAGTCCTTACAATAATGTCTCTTAAATGTTTGTTTTGGTTTTTTAAATTTCAGAGTAAAGGATTCTGGGTAAAATAAATTACTGAGCTGATTTTTTTCCCCTTGGATTCCCAGGAAACATCTGAAACAAATTTATATGGTGAAAACAATCCTGTCATTAATTCCAATGAAGCAAGGTCTCATCTGACTAACCATTATGAAGTGTGTACTTCACATCTATTTTCAGAATAGCACTTTAGTGTCTTCCTTTCCAAAATATCAAAAGTGGTTTCTTTGCTACTGTTAGCAGTTGCAGGAGATTCAAAAGGGAGCTGACAGGAAAGATTTCAATGTGATGAGACCTTCCTGTTTTTCAGATTTACACTCCTAACAGTGTTTTCTGCAAGGGTGGCAAAAACTCAGACAAAGCAGTGATGCAAAACCAGAAGACAAATCTTCGCCTTGGAAGATAGTACATTGTAACATATTGGGTAGGGTGAGGTTAATTTTATTTTCTATAGAACAACTTGGTGTTTGTTATATTCAAAGAATAAAATCTAACTTTTTCCTCTTTTCTTAAAAGAAGGGCAATAAAGACTCTCATGAAGCCTGAGAATCTCAAAACAGGGAAGGCCAGCCAGAGAAGCTAAAGGAAGACCCTGCACTTTGCTTGTAACTGGCCTGCGGAGTCCATTCTTGTCTTTCTTTTTGGGAAAAGTTGACTGGCTAGTTGGGGAATATCAAAACATTCTTGAAAGAGATACTATAAAAACAATCCCAAATCACTTATATACTTTAAAATAAATCCATGATAGAATTGCATGCAGTGTTAAAATATTAGAGGAAAATATCTAATGACAGAGGAACTGCCTATGCTACCTTATAGAAAAAAAATATAACTGGATAACTCCATTTCTGTAACAACATAAACAACAGACATTAACTGTGGGTAGTGCTTTAAAAATGTTTCCAAGTTTTCTACAGTGAATATATAATACATTTGTAATTAGATTTAAAAACAAAGTTTTGTTGTTGGAAAAAATGAAAAGCAATTCAGAATCTCAATTCTACTAAAGGGATAGAATGCCAAAATGAGATATATTTGTAAGTCCACTGCTGTTAGAAACTCATACTGTACGTGAAACCATACCCCATATTCTTTTGTGACCAGTATACAATGTAACCCCTCAAAAGCACTGCCTTGCCAATAAACCTTTCCCAAGATGTTCCTGAAAAGATAGTATACATATTTGTAGGAACAAATTGTACTCATCAAATTCTGTTTGTTCCCTTATGCTCCCACAGAACCAAGATAAAAATAAAGACTGAAATATAACAAAAAGCCGGGTTTATACAATTAAAATCTTTCAATGTTTGCTAAAGTAATCCAAATACTGGCAGGGGCTGAAGAGTCAGCCTTTCATTCTACGTATATGTATATATATATATACACATACACATACATACAAGTATTATCTATATATAAGATAATATCTTACATTATAAAATATAATATTTTAGATACATAAGATATATCTAAGTATTACCCCTTTTTGTGGGAACAACTTACATACTTGTTGAAAACTTAGATTTGAAAAAAAAATGTTTTAGAAACTTTTTCAATAAATTTCATCATTGCCAGGAAGGAGAACATATACCCAATACCCAGCACAATTTCAACATATTTTGCAATGCAAACAGCTTACGCAGGGAAGAGATTTTTCTCATGTCTTGATAAATACCTTCAAAAGAGAACCAGACTACTCCAACACCTATTTCTAAGTGAAGTGTCCTATTTCTCCAGAAATTGCATTTGCAGACCTCCAAAGGACAAAAAGCTCTTTCAACTATTATTTACATTACATTAATGTGGCAAAATGGAAAATTTTGCAGCAACCAGTTTTTCAGGTTACAATGATAGATACTTGAAATTGAGTTAAAATAATCTCCAGGTAAAGCCATATGATGTTCATGGAGAAGTACGTTGTTTAAAGTATTAAAAAATCCACCCAGGTAACCCAGGTACTTCACTACTGATTAGAGATAAATGTCTGATGGATTTTATTATATAAGAAAGAAATGTAAGCTCAGCCGTAATTCTAACTAGTAACTTCCCATTAAGATGACAGCTGCAACTCGAACCCCTCCTTATAGGCACACAGCTAAGGGGAGAAGGCAGGGTAGGTAAAGACCTAGGAGAAATTACTATGTTTGTCTAAGGGTCCCTAAGAAACAAAATAGCTGAGAGGACACACCAATTGGCTTTTGCTTTAGCAAGAAGCTTCAGTTCAGTGACTGCAAAGCAAGCAGCACAGTGGGAAGTGTCAGACTCCTGCTCTGCACTCACAGACAAGTGGGAAAGCAAGCTATGGGGCCAAAAATGCAGTATCGTCCTCCAAAGTATGAACCTGGGCGGTGAGGTATCGTCATGAGTCCTCCAGTGCTACCGAGTGTTACAAGTGCTACCGAGAAACAGTGCTACTGAGATAGTAGACATTTTCTAAGAAGAACCTGCCCACACTCACTGAGGGTGAAGGGGCCGTTGCATTACTTGGCTGTCTTTTCCAGCCCTTCCTAAGGAACCAGAATTGATTTCAGAACGAACTGATTCAAGACAAAGTTTGTATTTAAAATATATTAGAGTGGAGAAGGTAACCTTGCTAGGTTCACTTTGAAATGTTGGAAGGGCTGCCCACCTGAGAGGTTTCATTTAAAGTTAGCCCCTTTCACCTCAGTCAGCCCCGAGACATTCACTTGCTTTGTAAGCTTGCAAGAGCAGATGTGCCGAATGCTCAGAGCCCGTCAACAAAACAAAGATCGCTTCCTTTGTCTTTCTGAAAAGACTACAGGAGGCACTGCTTATATAACCCTTCCAACTTGCACTGCCCTGTTGGAAACATTCTCCATCTCCACACTACTGACAACATTTGACTAAAAAGCAGAGGACAATTTTCCCCATTAGTTCCCTCCCCTCTTGTGTAGGAGATGCATAGCTGGGGAAGTTCGGTTAGTTAACTTTTGGGAGGAGGATACTGCATTTTTTCAAAGAGACAGACGCTGATGTTACAGACATACATAGATAAAAACTTACCTCCTCAAAAGTCATAGACCAACTACTGTTTTCAATCATAGGTACAAAGACAATTGAAAAAAAAATATCCAATGAAATTGTACACCTACTAATACAGTTAGGAAATGGCAAGAACAAAAACAGACACTTGTTAATGCTATTTTGTTATTTTGTTTTTCCTTAGTCATACACTCCAGGTTCTCTCTATGGCTGCAAACACTTGACTGAAGAAAGTATACTTAAGGCAACCAGTGGGCAAGTCTCAACTCAGGAAGACTGATACTCTAAGACTCCACCCCCTCTACACTGCTATTTGCAGTTCGCATGACAGATGAAAATGTGGAACTATTAGCAACTACAGTGTGAGTTGTTTATACTGTTATTAAAGCTGGGAGGAAGGAACTGCCTTAGATGACAAGGTCAGAAACTTTGCAAAATAGTTCAAGTTTAGGCAACAGGATGAGATTACTGGGTAGAGAAATGCAAAAGAAAAACTGATCCCAGGTCTGATTTGTGTCTGTCTTGGGGCTGAAGTTTGGGTAAAGCAGTACAAGGAATGGTGAATGTCATTTATTCCAAGATGAGAAACCAGAGAAATGTGAACTGGCAGTCAAAATAGACTGAGCTTTACAGGAAAAAATGATGGGGAATGAGGTAGCTCTATAAACCCTAGTTCAATATTTTGGGTGTGTCGTCTGTTGCTATGTTGAATTCTTGGCACATGTTTTTAAAGACATGCAAGGGTCAGGAGAAAATGTTTTCCTAAAAGACTCAGTGCAATTTTATTAACCAACAACACACTAACTGTCACATATTTTTTTGGACACCGCCTTCAAAAATGAGATGATAATCAACGTATTCACATTTTATGCTGACAATTATTTGACATACAAAGACAAATGCCTACAGATGAAATGTTTAAATGTCTGCACTGTCTGTAAATGAAGATTCGAGAAAGAAAATCTGCATATTTAAAGCCCTGTTTCTTGCTTCCTTCCCTATCCCATACATCCAATTTTATCTTTCTGGTGAATTTTTAAAAAAATTTTAAATGTCAAACTAAAAACAAAATCTTGTAATAACTGTTGGCAAGCCAGATTGCATTTAACATTTTAAAAACAATCTTAGATTACACTCTAGAATAGAGGTTGGCAAACTTTTTCTGTAAAGGGCCAGACAGTAAATATTTTAGGCTTTTCAGGCAATAAGGTCTATGCTGAAACTACTCAACTCATAGTACAAAAGCAGCCATAGACAATAAGAAAACAAATGGGTGTAGCTGTGTTCCAATAAAACTTTACTGACAAAAACAGGCAGCAAGCTAGATTTGGCCCACAGACCATAGTTTGCAGATCCCTGCTCTACTCTAGCATACAAATCAAACTTTTAAAAAAGTAAATGGATTACAGAAGATGTAAAAACATTTCAGTGTGACATATTTTTCTTAGTATCACTACATTAATAGGAAACAAAATTACTAAAAATTGAAGAAAATTTTTGGAGAATTAATTCTGAACATCATCAATAAACATACTTAGAAAATTTTCATGTACTTAATTAACACTTATATCTCCTCCATGTGTTAAGTATAACTACGTCAGCGGACAGGTATGGCCAGAAACCACCTGCTCCTTCTTAGCTAAGTTGCTAGAGAAGCCTCAAGAAGGCTTAGGTTTGCACACTTCACCATGCACAACACTGAATTCATCAGGTTATCCAAGCTCAAAAAGAAAGAGTGGTGGCCTTCTGAAGTTTATCATCAAGTTATCACAAGCAGAATTGATACCATCCTCTTGTCTATTAGTATTTATCAAAAGCATATTATTCACAAAATATATATTTCCAAAAGCCAGCAAGAGTCTCTGTGATGTGGAAAAATAATAAAATATAAGTTTATTTTCCTTGGTAGAAAACATTTTTTAAAGATAGGTTCACTTATCTTGACTTCCCTGAGTAAGAAAGGGTCCAACCCAGTAAGAAAGAAATCTCAATCTCCCCCTTCCCAGGTAAGAAATTTAACATAATTTAAACTTCTTCACTTGTCAAGATTTAAAAAAAAACAAACCTGTGATGATTGCTCTAAAATATTTCACTAGATATATAAGGATGGCAAATAATACAAATACAATTAAGCTTTATTTCAAATATTTTGTTTGTAGTATTTTTTCCATGCATAATGGTTTAATTTTAAATTACATGCAGGGATAATTGCTCTACAAGTATCAGAATGTGCAAGAACTTTGAGTAAACTTGACGAGGGAATATCATCTTCTTTCTGTTTGAATTACATTTGATTAAAAAAATTACTATGTCTAACCTCAAGAAAGAAGTTAAAACATTCTAAATTTAATTATACTGAGCATGGATAAAATAATTAGAAATTATGTATTTATAATATGATCCATGTCCCAAACCCAAGAGAGTTTAAGTATTTCAGATACTTTCTAGGATTTCCCCATCTAGAACAGGTAATAACATAACCTTCATTATGCTTTGGGAGATTAATCGAATTTAATTAATTAGCTGTGCTTTTCAAGGCTCAACCGCATTTGTGTAAGTAGTTCTTTAATTAAAGAAAGAAAAGCATATCATCTTCCAGAGCCAGGTGAAGGCTGCCATTGTCTAAAAAAAACCATCAATAAATTTATATCACTAAAAAATTGATTCCCCCCACCCCCATGGAAACAATTCATCTCTCCTTAAAATAGGAAATAAAATTTTAATTTCTGAATTGGTAACTGCTTATTTGGGGGCTGGTTACTAATTTAAAAAATGTACTAGAACATCCACGAATGTGTATTTTCTGAGGACCTGCACCAAAATGAAAATGCACACAATGTATTTCTACAGACTGATCTTTATCCTGCATTTCACTTCATTGGAAATCAAGAAATGGCTTTATGAACCAAAATATTAGATTAGATAAAAAAAATACTACACAAATTTGGCCAGGTCCAAGTTAAGGCTGATAAAAGAAGTTTAGAATAAATATTCTATATTCTTCCTCAAATAAAGCTTTCCTTTCTGTCTCTTGAAATGTAATTATGAAGATAAACTGAAGGAGTATACCAAAGGTTGCAAGGGGTCATTATGGGGCTTACTGAGTTTCAAATACAAACTAATGCCAAGCCCAGGTAGCACAGGCAGTGTGTATATAAGTGCATTACCTATCTACGTGTGTGTGTGTGAGGAGCCCTGGTGATGTAATGGTTAAAGCACCTGGCTGCTAACTGAAAGGTCAGTGGTTAGAACTCAGTACCAGCTCCATGGTAGAAAAGTCCTGGTTATCTGCTCCCTTATGATTACAGCCTTGGAAACCCAGTGGGGCAGTTCTACTCTGTCCTATAGGGTCACTATGTTGGAATGGACTCAACAGCACACAACACCACCAACAATGTACAATATATATATATTCTTAATAATTGCCGCTGAAAATCAATGAATAACACACCTATGTTGGCCTCTCACCCTTTAACAGGAAGGTCTCCCTGCCACAGGTATGGCTTCAGCACAGGTATCTCTGGTGTGAAGTGGGGTTCATGAAAGGAAGATGGTAGGCTAGATGGCAGTCCCCTTGGAACATTTTGCCTTTTTTTTTTTTAAAGTGAGATACAATTCATGTATCTTAAAATTCTCCTTTTTAAATTGTACAAGTCAGTGGTTTTTAGTATATTCTCAAAGTTGTGCAACTATCACCACTACCTAATTCTACAACATTTTCATCATACTTAGGGTTTTAAAATTTAAATTAAATTTACAGCAACACCATTCCGTGTTTATCTTTGTGGTTGAGATTTAAGTGTTGGATGCAGGCAAGTACAGTAATGTAACCTGAGAATGTAGATCTTTGCATACGTCATAAATATGGATACAAAACACAGGTTTACATAGATATTGCAATAATTCAACTCTACACATTAATTCTTTAATCTACCTCTGACTTCCCTGGCAATAACCCCTTTATTTGTCCCACCATGTCTAAGAGAAATAGCATCAAATTGAAATATCTCTTAAAATAATCTTATTGAATAATTTTCTGGGTCTTTTTTAATGTCCACACCTTTCTAACTCTCCTGCCATGTGGCAAGCTAGGGCGCAGACATGGTGTTTTAAGTAGTATGGATCTTAATGGTTGGGAGGTGTTATTACTGACCTGGGGACAAGCTCTCCCTCTGTGATCTAAAAGATCATCCATTCCCATTTATTTTTTAGAGTTTAGATAACTAGGTTCCCAGCCCCAAATCTATGAGTTATAAAGTGCTCACTTCTAGGATAGAGATCTTATTCTTGAAAAGATTAAATTTAGAAGATGCTAGGAGGTATTGTCTAAGAAACATTTTTTATGTTAATTACAAATAATAATAATTAGTTTTTTAAACTACATGGTGATTATCTGAAAGACCAAATCTGTTGACAGTTGGAAACAACAATGTCAATTGCCACCTTAAAAATGTAATTTTAACGTGAGGATGCAAAACCACTTTACCAAGTATATCGCCGGTACAAATGCTTAGACATTATTAAAAGGGCAAAGAGATATTAGATGATATACGGACATGATATTACAACAATCCAAAAGTAACAACTATAGTGGGCATCTGATATGCACAAATAAAAAAGGCCACAACACTCAAAATATCTACTTTCAAAACAAAACAAAAAAGTTCAATTCTACTTTGAACCTTCAATAAAAAATCTACACATTGATAATCTTATGCAAGATAAACTTTTTGAAAAACAGTATGCATCTTACTATTTATTCATACATACCTGCTTTAAAACAAAAAGGATTTAAGACACAATAACATGTACAAGCCCATACTGATTTAAACGTACATTTTTGGTCTTTCATTTCCTTCTCCTCTGTTTTAATGCATTCATCCCAGACTTTATTCATAATGATGGTGGCAATAAAATTAGAATGATACAAGCAGTACGAGAACTTCCTTTTGGATCCTTAAGAATATTTTATAATATACTGCCTTCAAGTCTTTCTATAGCAGCATGCTATATGAGCTATGTTAGAATTAGTTTTATTGGGGAGGGAGGAGATGGAAATTAGCTTCAAACCTTACCTAGGAGCATCTTACCTATCAATAGTTATCTACCATGGCAGTAAAGGAGCCATGGTGGTGCAGTGGTTAAGTGCTTGGCTGCTATCCGAAAGGTTAGTGGTTCAAACCCACCAGCCATTCCACGGAAGAAAGATGTAGCAGTTGGCTTCTGTAAAGATTACAGCCCTGGAAACCCTATGGGGCACTTCTGCTCTGTCCTATAGGGTCATTATGAATTGGAATCAACTCTATGGCAATGACTTTACCATGGCAGTATGCGGGATTTTATTATCAGCTCTTAGCTCTATATGCAAGGAGAGAAACATACTGATGTGAGATGTTAGGCAGCAATAGTTGGGAGAAATATGAGGAAGATCAAAGAGAGACTGGAGGAGCAGACCCATATAAGGTGATAGTATTCTAGTAATGTGTGGAAAATTAGTATCAGTAGGCCTGATGAAACTAATAACAACCATTTACTGAACACCAGAGAATACCAGGAAGATGTTTACCTGTGTTTTATTGACTATGCAAAGGCATTCGACTGTGTGGATAACAAATTATGGACAACATTGCAAAGATTGGGAATTCCAGAACACTTGATTGTGTTCATGAGGAACTTGTACACAGATGAACAAAGAGTAGTCGTTCAAACAGAACAAGGGGATACTGCATGGTTTAAAATCAGGAAAGCCGTGCGTCAGGGTTGTATCCTTTCACCATACTTATTCAATCTGTATGCTGAGCAAATAATCCGAGAAGCTGGACTATATGAAGAGGAAGGCAGCATCAGGATTAGAGGAAGACTAATTAACACCTGTGATGTGCAAATGACACAACCTTGCTTGCTGAAAGTGAAGAGGACTTGAAGCACCTACTAATGAAGATCAAATACTACAGCCTTCAGTATGGATTACACCTCAACATAGAGAAAACAGAAATTCTCGCAACTGGACCAATAAGCAACATTATGATAAATGGAGAAAATACTGGAATTGTCAAGGATTTCATTTTACTTGGATCAACGATCAATGCCCATGGAAACAGCAGTGAAGAAATCAAATGATGTATTGCACTGGGCAAATGCGCTGCAAAAGACCGCTTTCAAGTGTTAAAAAGCAAAGACGTCACTTTGAGGATTAAAGTGCGCCTGACCCAAGCCATGGTATTTTCAATCACCTCATACGCATGCAAAAGCTGGACAATGAATAAGTAAGATCGAAGAAGAACTGATGTCTTTTAATTATGGTGTTGGTGAAGAATATTGAATATACCATGGACTGCCAGAAGAACAAACAAATCTGTCTTGGAAGAAGTACAGCCAGAATGCTCCAGAAGTGAGGATGGCAAGATTTCATCTCACATACTTTGGATATGTTATCGGGAGGGACCAGTTCCTGGAGAAGGCCATCATGCTTGGTAAAGTAGAGGGTCAGCAAAAAAGAGGAAGACCCTCAATGAGCTGGACTGACACAGTGGCAACAACAATGGGCTCAAACATAGCAACAGTTGTGAGGATGGTGTGGGACTGGGCAGTGTTCTGTTCTGTTGTACACAGGGTCGCTATGAGTTGGAACTGACTCAGTGGCACCTAACAACAACAACACTGAACAACAACCATGTGCTGGGTACTTAACACACAACATCCCTCATCCTCAGAACAATCCTGCAAGGTAAGGATTACACTACACATTTTACAAATGAGAAGGGATTCAACAACTGTTTTATTAAGAGTCTGAATTCCAAATCCTGAGCTCTTTTTTTCAGAGAGCCAAGATTTGAACTCAGGTCTGTCTGACTATGAAATCTACTACATATTCTTTCCACCATCCTCCTTTGCTAAACCTCATGTATTATTCAATTTAGCAAACAAGACAAGATGTATTGTGTGACTGTCCAGTAGCTGCCAATGTCCAGCTCTCTGACCACATAAAGGCAACTCCAGTTACAAAAGCGGAAGTCAACCCACTATGGGGGAAACATTAACAATGCCACCATACACTTTTCTTGGCAGGATGTTCTGGCATGGGTGCTCAGTGGGAAAATACAATACTCTCTTATCCTAGTGTAGTGACACAGAGAGGGAGGGAACCGTCATGCATCTATAGGAGTCTGAAGAACTAAAACATGTTTAAGAGAGCTAATGATATTTCAATTGGAAAAATAAGTTGGAAATTAACATTTCCCAACATTCTTTGCAAATGGCCCAATTTTTAAAAATACCACAATTAACGAGATATTAAACCAAAACTATTCTGGTTCTGAAATTGTATACTGTAGTCAAATGTCACTATTATTCATAAATCTGTTTGAGGAAATAAATATTGCGACAAACACCATTACTGAACTCAATATATCTTTGTGGTTTTTATTTTTCCTTCCAAGAAAGTTTGTATTTTTAACATTTGCTACAGACAAAGTAAGTATAAAACATCCTTGTGCCCGTCTTGCAACAGTTCACCTTCTAAACGTCTTTGTGGATGTGACCGTGCACAGCTAAAACAGTATTTTGTCATTTTCCTCTTTTCTCATTTTTGAAAGCAGTCGAAAGCCACTTTCTCTTTCCCCCTCTTTCTCTCAGCTTCTTATGAAGATTCCCAGTATAAATGCAACAGCTGGAGTTACCTATAAATATACAAACTGAAAGAAAAGAAATATTACGGTTGGCTATTCAGGGGTCTCCTGAAATGGAAACATACCTGGACATTTAGGATCATCAGAACAACAACAAAGAACAGAGGGAAACTGAACTTGCCACAACTGCTACTTTAGGGTAGAGAAAAGACTTTGCTCTGACAGGTGACCTGTGTCTCCCATACCTTGTATCTATCCATGGGGTCTTCCTGCTGCAGCTGACTCTCTCGCATTGTCTGATATTCTTTCTCATATTTCTTCAGCTTCTTGGTTGGTACCTATCAGGATTAGAGGAAAAGCATGTTAGAGAAGAACTCCATTTAGGAAAAAAATTTCTGATTGTTTCCCAATTACATCTCTGGTATTCTCAGGGAGCACACCCAACTCAAAGTTAGGAAAATGATCTAGATTCTCGAACTAGGGTTGTAAAGTTTCTCTGTAAAGCTTCAGACAGTAAATATTTTAGTCTTAGTGGGCCACACAGTCTCTGTCACAACTACTCAACTCTGTCATTGTCGCATGAAAGCAACTGTCATGGATTGAATTATGTCCCCCCAAAAAATGTGTATATCAATCTGGCTGGGCCACGATTCCTGGTATTGTGTGACTTTCCTATGTTGTAAATCCTGCCTCTATGATATTAATGAGGGAGGATGGGCGGCAGTTGTATTAGTGAGGCAGGACTCAATCTACAAGATTGGATTGTTCTTGAGGCAATCTCTTCAGATATAAAAGACAGGAGCTATCAGAGAGACAGGGGTACCTCATACCACCAGGAAAGCAGTGCTGGGAGCACAGCGCGTCCTTTGGACCTGGGATCCCTGCGCGGAAAAGCTCCTAGTGCGAGGGAAGATTGATGAGAAGGCCGACAGACAGAAAAAGCCTTCCCCTGGAGCTGATGCCCTGAATTTGGACTTTTAGCCTACTTTACTGTGAAGAAATAAATTTCTCTTTGTTAAAGCCATCCATTTGTGGATTTCTGTTATAGCAGCACTAGATGACTAAGATAGCAACCATGGATGAAACAAGCAAACGAATGTGGCTATGTTCCCATAAAACTTTATTTATAAAAACAGGCCATGGTTTCTCCACCTCTGTTCTAGAGTACTACTGATAAATCGTAACTATTTCTTGTTAATGTATTTAATAGTGTTATGAATTCTGTTAATTACCTTTCTTTAAGTATAATTCACTCATAACCTTCTATCTTGTTAAAAATAAAAATTATTTTACAAAAAAAAAAAATTGAGCAACAAAAATATTAACAACAATGGGGTTAATATACCTGACAGAAAACAGATTCTAAGGCTTGACATTGAAAACTCAGAAATATAGAATCATTGTGCTGTATGAGATCATGAAAAAAAATCATCTAGTCATTTATTTCTTGCTACAAGTATATCATCCTCAAAAAGATAGCAGTCTACTGCTTACTGAAAATCTACATAGCAAAAAAGATGACAGAACCTTAGAATTCTAAATATAAACAAACAAGCATAGCAGAGTGTAAAGGTCATAGAATTCAACACTAGACAGACCAGGGTCTGAAGGCCTACTAGGTATTTACTGTATTTTTATGCAAATAACATGCATGTTCTACATTTTTTTGCCCACGGAGCCCTCCCCCTAGAGGTATTTTTATAAATTGGCTTACAAAAATACCTCCAGGGGGAGGGTGGGGTCGGCAAAAACAATGTAGAATGCATGTGTTATCTGCATAAAAATACGGTATTAGTTATGTAACCCCTTGGCAAACTGTTACTTAATCTTAGCTGCAAGTTTCTTCATATGTAAAACGACAGGTAAAAAAATACCTACTTCATGGAGGTTGTCAGGAGATATAACGTAGGTAAAGTACCTAAGGAGTCCCTCCTAGTGGCGTAAATGATTAACATGCTTGGCTACTAACTGAAAGGTTGGAGGTTCAAGTCCACCCAGAGGACCCTCGAAAGAAAGACCTGACAGTCTACTTCTGAAAAATCAGCCACTGAAAACCCTATGGAGCACAGTTCTACTCTGACACACAAGGGGTAGCTATCAGTCAGAGTCGACTCAACAGCAACTGGTTTTTTTAAAGTAGTGAAAACAATGCCTGGTTCATGGGAATTTAAAAAAAAAATTGCTTTTAACAATCTAGGTGCCCACCAACGGATGAATGGATAAATTATGGTATATTCACACAATGGAATACTATGCAACAATAAAGAACAATGATGAATCCGTGAAACATAACATGGAGGAATCTGGAGGGCATTATGCTGAGTGAATTTACTCAGTCACAGAAGGACAAATATTATATAAGACTATTATAAGAACTCAAGAAAAGGTTTAAACACAGAAGAAAACATTCTTTGATGGTTACGAGCATGGAGAGGGAGGTGAGGGTTATTCACTAACTAGGTAGTAGACAAGAATTATCTTAGGTGAAGGGAAGGACATCACATACTACAGGAGAAGACAGCACAACTGGACTAAACCAAAGCTAAGAACTTTCCTGGATACAATCAAACA